TTTGCATTGAGGTAGGCTGTACAGAAAGGATGAGCTGTGGACAGCTGGACAGGGAGCGTGTTGCACAAGTTTGTTCGGTTCCAGTACCAGATGCAGATGCAGCAGGTGGGGTGGTGATGATTTATTGCTCCAAGCTGGAAGCAGTTTATGCTCAGTAACACTCTGGTTATACAGTGTGTACCTGTGAAGTGCTGCTGTGATTATTTTCATAATTAGTCAGTTTGCAAGTTTCTGACAGACCAAAACAATAAGTTGGTACTCGGTTCACAGCTCAGTTAATGCAAACTTCATTAACAGCCTGATATACTCACTAAACACTTAAGTATGTACTTCTTGTTAGTAAGAGTTTGGATCCCCTGTATCTTCTGAATTGCCTTAATTCTTTGTTGTATAGATTCAACAAGGGGGATTTTGGTCAGTTTGGTTCATTGGTCTGAGATCTGGTGAGTGTGTGGTCATTTGAGTGGAGTGAACTGACTGAAGTGGCACCATCTGCTCCAAGGTTTAACATGTTGTATGCTCAGAGATGCTCTTCTGATAAGCAGAGATGTTGTTTCCTGGCGACCACTTGATTGTAGAAAGCGGTCATTTGAATGTTTGCCTTTATTTCAGATCAAAGCAGTCTGGCCATTCTACTCTGACCTCTGACATTATCTATCTAAACCTTAAAGTGACTTTGTCGTTTTACTTTTCAGTGACCAAGAATTAGTACCTAACATCATTAGACGAGTGATTTTAATACTGTGGCTGGTCAGGATATAGTAGGGAAGAATGAAAAGAATGGATACAAGTAATGATACTTTTATTGCGAATACAGCGAAGTATAATTAAAAGTAGGCTGTTCTGTGTAACATCTAGAAAACCGCTGTTATTAACCCTTTCAGACCTACTATAGAACCAAGGGCGCCAGAGCTTACTTTATATTTTTACATGCTGTAGTGCCATTTTAGGGAGCATTTCAAGTTGCTATACATCAATACAACTGTTATAGCCCACATTTTAATAATATGTATGCATTATTAGTAATAATTCCATAGTAACTACATTAATTGCAAAAAAGTGCAATGAACTACAAAAAAATTGAAAATCTTTTTTTTTTTTTTTTTTTTTACATATATTTCTACTTGGAGAAATTTAAGAGGCTTATCTCTCAAAACTTTAAATACTAAAAAAGTTGCAAAAAATAGTTTACAACAACGGGAAATTTATTTTGAGTGTCTTCATAATTTTATTTTTGAGATACACCAATTTTTATATACTGCAGAAAAATGAAAAACAATCTATTTTTACATGCTGTAGTGCCATTTTAGGGAGCATTTCAAGTTGCTATACATCAATACAACTGTTATAGCCCACATTTTAATAATATGTATGTATGCACTGGCTTTAATACATAAAGCCAGTGCAGAAGTACCTTAAATTTCAAATTGGTGGCAATGACCAGCGGCGGCGGGGACACTCCTCTGTATACTTAAAGAAGGTGTATTTAAGTTTTTGAGCAATTTTTGATTCATGGCCTCAGTAATCACTTTCCTAATGGGTTTATGGTTGCAGTTTGCTCATACCGCATTTTAACTTTTGATTGCATGAGGATACTTTGGAACCACAGACTATAAGCACTGTCCTTACTGAGGTTTACACGATTTATATAGAAAATATGCATCTGGGCACCGGCGAGGAAAGTATGTAGTTATTAAAAAAGTTAAATGTTGTCTCAATCTATGCGCAAATGATATAGGCACACAATACATTTGATGTTAGTTTGTAGAATTTAGTATTTAAGCTGGTGCTGTATAAACATAATCATAGTCCAGATTAAAAATTCGATTTACTGTTTTTGAAACTTGAAAATTTTGTCATTATTCTTCACTTTATCACAGAAACATGTAAGAAAGTGATCAGCCCCCCACACCACCCCTGGCAAAAAAACAACAAACAAAAAACAAACAAAAAATAAAAACACAGAAGCTACAGAGTACATGAAAAGCTTGTTCTGTCACTGCCAAAATTTCTGGCCATAACCATGGTTTCTGACCAATTTACAGGGAAACAATGAGAGAGCCTTAATCAGGTTAACAATCTCACTCTTGTCGTTTTCCAGCAAGCCGACCTATTCGTCATAGAAAGCAAGACACAGGTGTGTCCTATAATGATGGCAATGATGCAGAATAACTCGGACATCATTTCCTAAACTGGATAAAGCTTTGTTTTTTTTCTCCTTTGCTACATCTCAACACATCACCAGCTCACTTCTTAATGACTTGGGATATGTAGGCAGAATTTAATTGGAGACGAGTTTCTGGCAGTTTTTTTGTGAGCATCTTGAGTTTCCTCACAGAGATTAGCAGATTGTGTGTGTGTGTGCTGACATATAGGTTGAAATTGCTCTTTAAGTGACATTATGTTGCTAGACAGCATTTTTGTGCATTCACTTAGGCTCATTTTGACAGCACCTGACTTTGCAGGGTTTCTTTTACTTCCTTTTGCTGCGCGTTAAGTCTTTATAAAGAGGCGCTGACAGGAGCACAGACAGGAGGAGGATGTGTAATTGCATGGCTTTTCTTGTTCTGCTGACTTTATGGGTTTTGTCAGGAGCTTAACTTTGTGTTGTTTGTCATAAAATATGAGGCCTTTAGTACATCTGCAGCCCTGTGTGTTTGAGTAATGAGCTAAAAAAATATCAGGAAAGGCTCCCCAGTTTGTAACACACCAACAAAGGGCAGACCAAAGCACAGGCAGGCATAGATTGCTCAGCCACAGGCATGACTGCATTCAGGGGATCATCAAAGTTTTATCTAATTTTAGGGAACACTCACAATCCAATTTCACGTTCACACACTACCAGTCACCTAGCATGAGGCGGGTTGGGATGAAAAATGAACGCAGAAAAAAGAGAGGAGGCTAATCTACATGACAAATATTGTTTGACTTTCAGAGCTTTAAGAGCAGGTGTTAGTATTCATTGTCTCTCCCTCTTTCTCTCTTGCTAGTTTTTCAGCAACTTTTCACTCGAACACACACACACACACACACACAAAGTGGATTCTAGCTTCTGGGGTTGTCTAGGAAGTTGGGCTGAATCTCGTCTGCTGGGACGGGCTGATAAATTTATTGTGGCGAGAGGAAAACAACTGGGAGGATGGTGTGTGTGACAGATTGCTCATGTGTGTGTCAGAGAGACAGAAGGAGGACATAGAAGAGACTAGATCACTGTGTGTGCCAAACAAAAGAGGAGAATAATACCCTCGAACCTCAGCCAATCGCTATTTGAAAACCAAAGTCCCAAAGCTAGGTTGATAGCTAACTACAATCACACACACACACACACACACACACATCACAAGAGCTCTCTGCTCTAAGGCTCTTCTCTCTCTCTGATAGATCTTATGCAAGGTTTCGGGAGGCAAGATGTCCCAGGAAGGTGTGAATAAGTTGGAACATCACACCTTTGGTTTCGTGAAATTGGAAAACACTACCAGCTTTAAGGCTTAGCACCACATCCTCTATTACCTTGACTGCATGGTGTGTTTATGAAATTAAAGTGACATATTTGTAATACAGTGCTGTAATTTATGTGTCCTCTGTCACCAGTGTTGGGAAGGTTACTTTTAAAATGTATTCCA